GCACGCACGCACGCACGCATCCACAGACACAGACACACACATATAAAACTAAATCTCCAAAAAAAAAAAAAAATAGTAAGGTAGAGAAGTAATTTATGAAGACACTAATATCAACCTCTGGCTTCCGCATGGGTCCATACTGTTGAGCACACCAGCATATAACACACACACACACACACACACACACACACACACACACACACACACACACTCCTCGCTGGAAGGGAAAATATATACTGGTGGAAAGATGATCTGAGATACCTCTCCCCCTATGTCCTCTCTTCCCTCTGCCCAAATTCTGGTCCAGGGCCTTCTCGGCCTGTGCTACTACCTGGGACACACAGAACTTGAGTCAATCCATTCACAAATTAGTTAGATCTGCTCACTGGCCAGCGGCCTAGTGCCAGGAATGATATCTGTCCTTGGGGTCTACTTGTTCAATAAGCACAGGTCAGACTGAGGCCCCACATTGAACAGAATGCGGGGTGGGGTGGCAGAGCTCAGCCCCTGTGAGAAAGAACAGCATGCCCAGAAGAGGCACAGGGACCTGTCCAGCCTCACACTGTCAGACCGAACCACCTCTCTCAAAATCATCAAGCTATGGGCCATTCTTGCCTGCGCTGGTCAAGAGAGCTGGGGCTTCTAGTTAGCTGGGTGACCTCAGGAGCCACCTTCTATAAATCAGTGAGAGTTGGACTGAACACTGTCAGAGACCCCCCTTTGTCTTAAAGGGGCTGCAGCATCTAAGAGGGCCAGCTCATTAGCGGACAGTCCTCTCCTCCCCTGGCCATGCGGCTGTGGTGTAACTGGTCCCCTGGCTCCTTCCTCCTCGGTACTTTCTTGTACAATTCCATATGATGCCTCATTTGAGGCTGAAAGAAAGCCATGGAGCTGGAGATGCTCCAGGCCAGGAAACTAAACTACAGAACCAGTCCTCCCGGTTTCAACTCTGCTGTTGCCTTGGCTTTGGGAGTCCTGGTGCCATGCGGCAGCCTTGAGCAAGGTGACCGGTTTGTTGCTATTTGCCCTAGGGTAGAGTAGGCTGGCTGGGCTCCTGCTGCACTGAGATCAGAGGCCAGAACAGTGCAGAGCTGACTTGGGGTGTCTGCACTTCCTCTTCTGAGCATGCAGGGAAGCCCTTTCCAAGCTCTGGGCAGCCTGAAGTGAGGAGGAAAGACCTAGCCATGAAGCTTCTTCCTTAGCCAGAGGTCAGGGACCCTAGGATACAGACACAAATGCACATACAAACAGAGCATCCTAAGACAGGGATGTCTGATTTGCTGATTAGACAGGACTTTAGCAGAATCCATGCCCCAGAGAAGTCTCAATTGTTCAAAAATGGTCATCGGCATCCCTCTGTGAATACTTGGGTCTCTGTACCGCAATAGTGCCATAAAGAGCTTTTATACATATTGCTGGCCACTATGAGAGCTCCTTTGCTGGGGTTGAGGTCTTGCAGCCTCTTGTCCAGAGAGGGAACTTACATGATTTCTCCGAGCTTACAGAAGCCTGTCATGTTCTGGATTTGCCTTCATTTCTAGGTGAAATCAGAACAGCGGCCTACATTTTCTAAATTACTATGATGGATTACCATTTGGTAAGAAAAGTTTAAAAAGGCTCTGGGATTGAGTGTCCCCAAGCCACTCATCAGAGTGGTCCTCTCTGTGTGCAGCCTTCCAAGCTTTGTGATTCAGGCGGGGATGGTGAGTCCATAGCTCTTCAAGAACTGCAGCCACCACCGTGAGAAAAGATGTCAGGCCAGAGAGGAGTGGTCCTAGGCAACTCTGTCTCTCCCTCCCTTCCATGGGTACAACCCACTCCCAATCCTCAGGACCCTCAGGTCTGGACCTCAGAAGGAACTGTTTTCAGTAGCCTGGGGATCTTTAAAGACCTTGAGCACACGGTTTGCTCTCTGGGGCAAATGGATCTGGCATTGCTATTCTCCCTGGTTTTCTTGGGCCTGATCCATCATCCATCAGCATTGTGATGCCTTGGCTTCTCCCAGGGGAGGGTCTTCCACAGACACCCAGCAAGCCCCTCCTGAGTGCCCTAAATAAGATGGGTCTCTTCCTGGCGGCACCTTGCCTCTCTGATGTCTCAGAAGAAAGCATCATGGTTACCCTCTCAACAGCCCTAGCCCACAGCTGCTAATTATCTCCGCGGGTCAGGAGAGGAAACTGAAATGGAGAGACAGGAAATAATCCATCCTCGTTAGCAGAAGCAGCGACGCAGGCCTGACACTCGCTCCTGACTGCGCATGGTGACACTGTCCACGGTGACACCGTCCACGGTGACACTGTCCAAGGTCTGGCCGACTTATCCCTGAGCACTCTTTGCCTGGGCCTGGAGGCGAGAGCTGCTCCCATCTATAATTTCACTCATAACATAGGGATTTTTTTTGCTAGGGGGTACTTTATGAAGTTCTAGTTCAGAGCTGTCTTGAATTCATGAAATATTTGGAATGGATGAGTCATGGGTGACAATTTCAGGGATGAGCCTGGGGTCCAGCAGAGGCGTAAGGACAAAACCATCCAGTCGTAACCTGGCTCTGTGGCTCAGCTGGTTTCTGGTGGCCTTGACCCCAAGCTTCTCTCTTCATCCCTCTACTGCATGCAAACTTGCCCAGGCCCAGAGCTCTGTCCTGTGTATCTCTTTCCCACTCCCTCGTCCAGCCATCTGGACTTGGTACTTAGTAGCCAGGCAATCACGAGATGCAAACCAGTGAGCAGGGATAAGCACTGTCTGTACCTCACAGCTTGCCAGGTACCATGGTCTACGGGCCACCCCCAATGCAACAGGGTTGAGAGGTGTTCGGGTCACCGGGGTACCACCCTCAGGAGTGGATTAATGTGTGGAACTCTCTTGCCTTTCTGCCTCCTGCCATGCGATGGCGCAGTTAGCACCAAGGCTTTTGCTAAACGTGGGCCCTGCCACTGTGGACTTCCCAGCCTCTAGAACTGGGATGCCAATAAAGCTCCATTGTGTGTGGATTACTTAGCTGTATAGATTATGCTGTAATAACAGATGAGACACCAGAAAAGACAAGGTCTCCTTCATCTCATTGGTCCCAGTTCTCTGCTTATCCCTTCCTGGACCCAGAGTCCAAGTTATGATGGAGGTGGAGTGTTTCTCTGTGTGTGTGTGTGGGGGGGGGCAGCAGGGAGGCTGACAGCTTCCCAGGTCATGCCCATAGCTTATACACACAGGAAGGCCAACCTTAGCTAAGGAGTTTCCATTTCCTATTCTCTGCCCCAAGCTGCTAGCCAGCTCGTTTATACCAGAAGACTCACAGAAATGAGCTCTTTTCTCAAGGATGGCTACAAAATGCCTGATAATAAGATTTGCAAGACCCCAGTACTGCCCAAGTCTGGCCGTCTGCTCTACTGCTGGGTCTTTCCACTGACAGTCTGGATGGCAGCCACTGGGAAGAGCTCTCTGCTTCCAGCCACAGGTCTCCCAGGAGCCCTTTCTGCCTCTGCAAGGGAGGCACAGCTCATTGGAGGAGCCTCTGGGCCATGTGGGTGAGGAATGGCATTTTGGAGGATCTTGGCCTACCTCTTGACTGACTCAGTCGGCCCTCGGTGCAGAGAATCTCTCACAGAGACGGGCATGGTCAGAAACCAGCCTAGAGCCTTCACTGAACCCTCGTAAGCACCCTGCAGCCTTTCCTCCATCTGCCCATGCCCTGGCTTCTCCCCGAGGCTTCCTCCTGGCCAAGCCCGCTGCCTCCCTGATGGCCCACTGTTTGCTCAGGTACTCGCTAGCTCTGCCACTCTGGCCCCAGCAGGGCACTGGCTTCTGCTCAGCTCTGCAGTCCTGGAGGCTCCCAAGGTTAAGAGTCATCTTCTGGGAGGGAGCGAGAAGCACTTCCAGAGCTGGGTCATTTTCCTCATCCTGGAGCCAGGTGTAAAACATACCATAGGCTCCTCCTGACTGAGGTCCTATGTGCTCACCCAGGTCAGGGACAGTGTTGGTCAGCCTGAAGAATGGTACAGAGTATGCTGGGACCCCACTGGCCTGCACCTTCCCTGTGCTTGGCAAGTCCCAAATGCACTCAGTGTGCATGTGGGCGGAAAGGTTATGCAGTTCCTATATGCCCTGCCGGGACTCAGTTTCCACCCAAATCAAATACTTCTAGAAGGGCTTGCTCTTGGTGCCGACTCCCCTGGTGCCCTCGTCATTAGAGTCCCCAGACTTACCACCAGAAAAAAAACGTGGGTATATCTACCCACAGAGGGAGACCCTTCTTGGCCCAAAGGCCAATCCTCAATCTTATCTAGGTAAGCTCCCAACCCCTCCCCCCCCCAACTCAGTTTCTATCAGAACCAACTTTGGCAAAGACCCTACTCCCCAACTCCTAGCACAAATGCAGAGTTCTCTGACCTTGGCTTTCTACACCAGAGGCTGAAATGCATTAGCCTTGCTGCCTGGAGCTCTCTCTGTGCCTTATGAACCTGAGTTCCTGGGGCCCGATGGAGCCTACCAGCCAAGACCCCTGAGCAGAGGCTGGGAGCCCAAGATTAAGGGGAGCACTAGTATGCCCCCAGGCAGGTCCCTGGCCCTGGCCTCATGCGGACTTTCAGAGTCAGTCTGACAGGTCAAGTTCAGGAAGAGGGCACCAAGAGAGAGCAGGAATCCAGTAGGCAGAGGACTCGCCATAAATATTTGTGGAATGACTACATGAGGGGCAGGCGAGAAGGGCTTCTTGGAAGGCGTCCTGGTGGCCCTGGCTTGGTCCGGCTGGAGCAGGAAGCAAACTCAGGGACTGCAGAAACAAGCCCAGAGGCCGAAGCCAGTTTCCACAGAACTGTTTCAAAACCTGCCTGGAGAGCGGTAGCAAGCAGGCAAGCAGCCCTGGGAATCCTTAGTCCACGACCTCCTCACAGCTGTTCTGTCAACTTGGAGTTAGCTTCTAGGTCCTAGGTGAGGAGTAGCCGCAATATATGGACACCCTGTCCCCAGCTCAAGAGTTCAGTCTGCCGCCACAGTGGAGACCTTACCTTGACTCTCCTTCAGGGCAGCTGGGCCTCACCCTCTCCCACTGCAGGCTGATGCTTGTCTGGAACCCAGAAAGCTGCTCTACCTTTAGGCAAAAAAGAAAAAAAAGAAAGAAAGAAAAAGAAAGAAAAAGAAAAACCTCAGTGATTTTTCTCTTTCAGCCTCCTTTCTCCGGAAGGTTCCTGATTGGTGTCATCCAGTCTCTGTGGGCACAACCTCCCTCCCTGCGGCAGCTTACTCACTGGTGTGCCTGAAAGCCTGCCAGTGGTGTGGGGGAGGCAGGGGTCCACACCCCTCTGCCTGACACACACTGGGGCATGACTGGAAGAGGCCCCCAGCTGAGCCCCGGACAGTCGCCTGCTCACTGAATGTGCCCATGAGCTCAGCAGGGCACCCACATCGGTGCTGACCTGCTCTGCATGGGGGAGTGACCCGGTCTTGGGAGGAAGGCGTTCCCGAGTGCCCAGGGCTGTCAGGAAGATGGAGCGATGGACCTGCAGACCCAAGCCTTCCGAGTTTAGTTCTCACACTTGGCCAGGCCTCAGGACCACCTCCCATCTTGGCATCTGGCCATGTCTCTGTCCGGTGGACCCAGCAAGGGTTTTTGGGCCTGCCTGAGCAGGCAGCTAGCTGTTCTTCAGTCTGCTCAGGCCATGTGTTCGCTGTCCCTTCTCCCTAGCATGCATTCAAGACTGGACCCGCCCAGCATCCGTCAGAATCAACCGCTGTCAAGTCCCCATCCCCAGCTCTCCGCTGACCAGCCGCTGTCCTCAGATCTGGCCGGGCGCACACACCGTGACACACCCTCACCCTCTCACACACACGTGGGTCCACACCCAGTACAGAGCCACCTACCTGTACAGGCCTGCCTATGCCAATCCAGCCTTGCTCTCCGAATACCAATGGCCCTGGAAGCCACACGTTTACAGACAGATCCCCTTGAGAGGTGAGCTTAAAGCCGGCACAGGAGGACTCCAGTCGGTATGGACCAGACTCCCCGTCTCTTCCAGCACCTTCAGAGGACACATGGGCAGCCTGATCACCATGTCTGCTATTGTACTCTGCCAGCTGCGGTCTCTCCCTGGGCACCTCTGGCTCCCTCCGTGCCTTCCATGTCCTTAGGGGGTAGTGGCAGCTTCCCAGCGAGTTCCATCTTCCTCCAAGCCGAGGTAGGGAGGGGAGAGTTAGAAGGGGCGGGCCTCAGGTACACCTCCAAGTTTTTAGCTCCCCAAATAATCAGATGCAAAGGGGGAAGGAAGAGAAGCCAAGGCGGGTGGGTGACTCAGTGGCGGTGGGCGGCTTTAGTCACCTGGATGGCTGCTTGCTGCTCCGGGTACATCAGGAGCCGAGCAGTGCCCTCCCCCCACCTGATGGGGTCCGCGGCTGCTGTCAAGAGGAGCTGGCCGAGCAAGCCGCAGCCACTCCCGCCTTCCTCTGGCCGATGGATCGATCAGGGCCCGGCAGCCCCGGCCGCGGCGCGCCCCTCCTCCACCGTGCACCCCAGCTCACTTTGGGATTTCTCCATCAGCTCCTCAGGCAGCGACCTGCTCCTTTAGGGCGCGAGCAGCTCCAACGTTGCCTGGCAATTTTGATATCGTCGGGGGTTGCCATGGGGAGGAGGGTGATGTCATTGACACACACACACACACAAAAAAAACCCCACTGAATTTACAAATCAGCTGGGGTTGGAGCTATTTATAAAAAACACGTTTCTCACTGCTTTCCTTCGCTGAGGGGGAGGGCGAGGAAGGACGGAGGGTGGGGCTCGCGGGAGCCTACTGTAGCCACCGTTGCTCCCTAGAAGTCAGACCTTCTTGGCTCACCGCCAAACCTCACCCCCTCTCCTGCCTCTGCCCCAGGTTTGCGGCTGTGGGTCTCGGCCATGGCAGGCAGGCGTGGCCACAGCCGGGGAGGCACACCCCTTACTGGCTCTCATCTGGTTTTGTCCTAAAGGGCAGAAAGGGTGAGGATGCAGGATGGGGTACTCGGCCCCGTGGGTCCCAGCCTTCCCGCTCTCCCCTGCCCCTGCATGCCCCTCCTATGACTAGAAACAGTTGCACTGGCTGGAAAGGAGACCTGGGCTTTCATGATGCCCACCTGCTGGTTCCCTGGCTAGCACTCGGTGAGCCTGGCCACTCCTTCCCCGTCCATCTGTGAAGTGCCCAAGTTCAGTGCTGGCCAGTTGTTTGTCTTTTCCCTGTTCCCACCCAACCCGCCATTGAAACACCTCCTCTCTGTGGCTTCCACTAAAATCTGGTGAAGGCTGGCCTCTAACCTATGCAGCGGCTGTCCCATTGCGGGCAGCCCACCCCACACTGGCCAACACCTGTTCCTAGGCCCACAAGTACTGACAGGAGGAAGCTGGAGTTGTTGATTCTAACCACCTGATGTCCAAGATGGCACTAAGGTGTACATACTATTTTTGAATATTCGTTCTTTAATTTTTCCTAAAACGTGGCTAACACCCTAAGCTCTGAATTTTCAGTCTCAAGGTCAGATGTGAGCTCCACAGTTCATTAGTTGAGTGACTTTGGCATACTGCTTAACCAACTGAACCTCAATGTCACCATCTGTAAAATGGAGACAATTTCACCTGCCTCCCAGGATTGTGGGACTTCAGCGAACAAAGCTCCTGGCGAGGGGACTGTTCGTCGGGGAGATCAATGAACATCTGCTTTCTTCCTGGCTGGTCTATGTCCTTTATTGCTCTTTCTTATTTACCTGGTCAGCAAGTTAATCCTCTACAGCCGTGAGTCCCAGGCATTGCTTGTGCAAAGGTCTCAGGCTGCACACATAGATGATCAGTGCCCCACATCACGGAATCAAAATACGAACGTCCTTCAGGGGCCAACGGGAAACATTTCCCCTTTAACTAGGTAGGCAGTTCTTTCTGGAGAACTCTGTTTCCTTTTTATCCTTCAACATGACATTGTGAGGAAACAGCTATCTACACAGGATCTAAAACCCAGACAGATGCAAATTTTGTCAGAAGCAAATCTATCATGGTTCATACTTGTAATTCCAGCACTTCGAAGACTACGGCAGGAGGATTATTGTTAGTTTGAGGCTAGCCTAGGCTACATAAAGAGTTCTAGGCCTGCCAGAATCTGATGTCTCTCTCTTGCCACCCCACACATATATTAGTATTGTTTGTGATTAGAAAAAAAATGGAAGCTATAATAAGGTTCATAAATAGGGGGTTGACTAATATAAGATGGTCCTTCCTAATGCAACCAAGTACCTGGATCCTTAAGGAAGACAGAGCTGGCCAGCCAGATGGCTCAGTGGGTAAAAGTGATAGCCACACAAATCTGACAATTTAATTGGAGCGCCAGATCCCATGGGGGAAGGAGCTAGATTATCCTCTGACCTCCACATGTGTGCCCTGGCATTTATGCACGCACGCGTGCGCACACACACACACACACACACAAATATTAATAAAATAAAATTTGAAAATTGTATCTGTCTGTCGGGGGAAGGATGGTAGCGACAGCTAAGAGAAAAGAGAAGACACCAATTTGCTGCAAGACAACGAGAAAACAGCACTTCATATCTGTTGAAAAGTAAAAGATATTTCTGCATCTGTGTTGAACAATAAACTCTCATGCTGTTGCCCCCGAGATGGGACCTAGTGAATCTTTTACTTAAAAAAAAAAAAAAAAAAAAAAAAAACTTTTGCATTATTTGAAATTTTCACTGAGCATATTTTTCTAGTTTTAAAAATATAAAGTTAAAGATAAGCAAGAAGGGCTGGAGAAACAGCTCAGTGGTTAGGGCACTGTCTGCTCTTCCAGCGGACCCGGGTTTGATTCCCAGCACCCACACGGCAGCTGGAACCACTGGATCTGATGTCCTCTTCTGGCCTCTGTGGGCACCACACACACATGGTGCACAGAAAAACATGCAGGCAAACACCTATATACATAAAATAAAAGCTCTAAATAAAAAGCAAGAGTTTAAAATTTCAAATACAGAATACAAAGCTAGCATGGAAACCCACAAGTTATGAAGAATAATTAAAATACATATATTTGAACATCCTCCAATTCCATTCTAAGGCAGTGTGGGCATGTGAAAAAAAAAACGGTTTTTCTTCTTTCAATTTTCCAGAAATTCTTTCAAATTTTAGAAGGAAGGACAACATAAAGATTGAAGGGGTTAAGAGGTGGGTTGTTTATTATACTAATTTTGAAAGAATAATTGATTGAAATAACAATTACATGTAGTCACTCTCTTTAGGAACTGTAACATTTCCAGGTTCCTGTCGGTTTATAAGTAGTAGCAGAAATGTTGAAGAAACTGTCAGCATCTCCAGTGAAGACACATCTCCCTTCTGCTACAGTAACCAGCAGTCACAGATAACCGGGAGTGCGTGGACAGAACAAAACAAGCCGCCTCCCTCTCCCGCTCTGGATCAGCCACGTTCTCCCAATACCAGCCCGGAGATCGAGAATAGAACAGAGAAATCAGGGCAGCCTCGGGGCCTCCAAGCAACAGCACTGACCCCAGTCTCCACTGACGCTCACACCTGGACAAAAGGTGCTTCCAAGCACCTATTGCAACCCTGCCCTGGGACCAAGGGGATTCTGATTGGCTGGCTTAGGTCATGTGCCCACCTCTCACTCTGACAAGGGGGCGGGAGATTCTGGAGACAGTGCTTCTGCTTTCACACATATGAACTGGAAAATGAGTGTGCTACCACTCAAGGAATGGGAACTGGGTGCCAGGCTACCAAAAAATTGCCCTCGCCAACCACAAACACAGCAGCCAGGGGGCGCCGTCACAACATCTCCACCACTTTTTCTAATGAAGGTCACTTCCTGAGTATGAGGGTCAGCGGTTGCTGTCTCTTAGATCTCTCGTATCTTTAGGGACTTCTCAAAGCTGATGGCCTGCACAGACTGAGACTCCTCTGCCGTGTCGCATGGCTGGGGTGAGATATTTGTAAACTCGGGTCTGTACACATGTGCACACACGCACAGCCCACACGAAGGGAAGAGCTGCCAGCCATAGGAAGAATTCCTGAAGAGGCTTGGCTGCCTGCTGTGAGTGAGAGGTCTCAGGTATCCCAAGTCCTGGCCAGTGGAGTGCCCGTGCCCTCCTTATCCTTCTGAATCACCTCTCACTCCATAGCCTCTGAGCTCTCTGGGACAGGATATAGCAGCTGCTTGGGTCATTTAGTGGAATGGATGAGCGAACATCTGAAGAGGCTGAATGCTCTAGCCACCCTTACTTAGAACACATGATTCAGAGCTCAAATGGATTCGAGGAAGCCCCACCCCTCCTCCTAAGATGCTGACTGCAGCCCTGGAAGATGAGGTGATTCAGCAAAAACGCGGAGGAAATTAGAGGCAGTGGGGACTAGAACTTAACTCTCCCCCTCACAGGTTTGGGGGTTCCCCTTACCGCCGACACAAGCCCATGGTGGCCGGTAGCCCTGAGTGTGATCTTTCAGTAACTCTGTCAAAGCAGCAGCAGCCCTGTCCCCGTGGACATTTTGGCCTTTACATTTTGGCCCCCAGGGATGTGCCGCAGTGTGACTCAGCCAAGCCAGTGTCCTTACAACTTCAAAATAAAGTCTTTCGCTTTGCTCGCTTCTGTTTTTGTGAATGAACACAGCCTTACGAGCGCGGCGGTAGAACCTCCCTTACTTCACAGCGTCGGCTCGGCAGGAACAACGGCTTGCATTGTCCCACTCCATGGTTTTAGACTGCCATGTGTGGATGCGTTTGGAAAAGCCATGTCAATAAGGAAATCTAACGTTTTCATAAACCAATAATTCCGAAGTTTTTCCCTACGTGGCAAAACGTTACACACAAACTTCCGGCTTCCGGTGTGTCCAAAACTCTCCTCTTTACGGCCCCAAATGTCTAGATCTTACGGTGCTTCCCCACACTCCCTACCTGCCTTCTACAACGGCCTTTTTGCTGACTGAGCTGGGCCTGTCTCCACCTGCCTCCGCTGTCAGTGCCTGGAAGAGACGAACAGACTTCCTGCCACACCCACCCCAGCCCAGCCCAGGCCAGGGCAAGCCTGAGAGGAACAGTTTGGACACATGAGCAGGTGTTGTCCCTGGAGGCCCGTGCACCTCAGAGCTGACCTACCCCTGGCCTTCAAGTGGGGAAGGCTAGACCAGAGACAGAGGTCATCAGGCATCCCAGGTCACCGCACCCACTCTAGGGGGATGGCCACAAAGGGGAGAATCACTAGATCCATTCAAGGTGTTCCTAGAGGGAAGGGGACTCCAGGGTCCCGTCAGTGGGGATGCTCTAGGTCCCCTGTGTGCCTTTTCCTGGCTCTGCTCCCGGTTCCCTGTAGTCTGCTGACAGGCCTGTCTCCCCAGTCTCTAGATGTGGGTGCCAGGGCAGCAGCTGAGGGAATGTGGCCAGGAACTCCTCCTCTTCTGCAAAGGCAACTGAGGCCAGCGGTGCCAGGAGGGGCCATTAATGACCACGTGGCAGAGGGTACTGTGTGCCATCCCCACCCCGCAGCCTTGACCTGGGGTGAGGTTGCTTCTCTTCCTGGAAGTAAAGAGGAGGAAGAGGAGCCTTCCAGTGTCAGGGCTGGGCTACAATCCTGGCTGCTGATGGGCAGAACAGGTGGGAGGAACTGTGAGGGACCTGAAGGAAGGCGAGGACTCTTCCCTGGGAAGCTTCCACATCGACAGCACCCTGGTTTCAGGGAGCTT